CTCTGAAATTACCCTAGTTATGCAGTTTCTTGACCATTGGGGCTTAAAAATAATTTTATTTTTTATTTTATTTTAAGCAATTTCTATGCCCAATGTGGGGCTTGAACTCACGACCCTGAGATCAAGAGTCACATGCTGTACCAGCTGAGCCAGCCAGGTGCCCAACCATTGGAGGTTTTTTTTTTCTTTTGAACCTTTTCTGCCCTCCAACAAACTTCCAACAAGTTTGCAATCAAGCCTCTGTATTAAATATTCTCTTTTTTCAAATACCTAGCGAAAGTTTTTGTTTTCCTTCCTCAAGGCAGTTTACTAGCATTTGTCAGGAAACTTTCATACTACAGATTTTGTGGGGACAAGATATGTAACTGTCATCTGCCTGAAATTTGCCAAAACAAATAGACAAAACTAGTATCTATTACGTGAAGGGTGCCCCCTTAGATGTGATATCTGCAGTGCACAACCTGCCTAACCATACAAAGCAGACTTGATCTCTCCGTCTAGACCAGTGAGTGCTGTCTAATATGGTAGCTCTTTCTGTCCCTCCCATGTGCTCTTTTTTTCTCTCTCTCAAAATAAAAATAAACTTTTTAAAAAAGAATGTAAAAAATCTCATTTACAAATGTTTTATATGTTCTACATTTTTAAATCATGGTGCTTGGGATACATGGGGTTAAACAGAATTTATTATTAAAATAGCTAATTTTACCTGTTTCTTTTTAAAATGTAGCTACTATAGGGGCACCTGGGTGGCTCAGTGGGTTAAGCATCCGACTTCAGCTCAGGTCATGATCTCACGGTTCGTGGGTTCGAGCCCTGTGTCAGGCTCTGCGCTGACAGCTCAGAGCCTGGAGCCTGCTTTGGATTCTGTGTCTCCCTTTCTCTCTCTCTGTCTCTCTGCCCCCTCCCCTGCTCATTCTCTGTCTCTGTCTCTCAAAAATGAATGTTAAAAAATAATAAATAAAGTGCAGCTACTAGAAAATTTAAAATTACATGTATGACTCACATATTTCTACTGGACAGGGCTGGGTTCCCAGCACTTAGCAAGGTTTCAGGTTACAGAGTTGGCACTTGCTGTGTATTTGCTGAGCAAATGCAGAAGTCTCAAGCCTTACCTGGCAGGAGTCTCTGCCAGCCTTGTCACCAGCACAGAACATTGTGGAATCTATCTGTCTTGGATAGGCCTCCTTGCACCTGTCGATACTTAGCACGGTGATGTTCAAGCACTGGAGGACCTTGGGGAATTTAACTGTCAGAGACACACAGAGTAGGGCCACAGTGAGCAGTGAGGAAGACGGGGAGGGGCAGTGCTCAGAGGCAGAGAGGGGGAGAAGGCAGGCAGGGGTGGGGTCGAGAGGGGCCTGGACACTCACTGCTGGGGCTGCTGGTTGTTCCCCAGCCAGATACCAAGCATCTGGTTCCAGCAGACGGACACCGGGAGGAGATGTTGATGGGCTTAACATACTGAGTTTCACGGATTCTTCTGTTCAGTTTGATGAGCATGAGGTCATTGGAGTGGCCGGGATGGGAGTAACCAGGATGGGGGATGGTTTTGATCCCCTGGAACATCTGCTGCCCAGATTCATAAACGGGTGACAGGGAATGGTGGCCGAGACGGATTCTGAAAAATCTAAGGAAGATGGTGCAGATTACCAACAACCCCGAACCCTATGCTTTTATCCAGTTTCAAGCACATCCCAAGTCTAGTCCCATCCCCGACTCCACCCATCCCATCCCCAACCTGAATCCTTTCTGTACACAGAAACCACCACGTGTGCATCCCCAACACGATCTAAACACCCCAACCTCAAACCCAGCCGCCTCCAAAACTCCCCATAACTCTAATCCCAGCCCTACCCTCAGCCCCACCCCAACCCCATGTATCTGCGCCCCACCCCCTCCCAAACTCTAAAGCCACTTTGAATCACATCTCCATTCCAAACCACTCAGCATATGCACCCACCCCAAACCCAACGC